GTGGTCAGGGGGCTAGCGGCGGGGAAGGGGGAGCAAACCAATCTCTTTCCGTGTGCCTGGTTTCCCTGCCTCTCCCCCACTGTTTGGGTAACATGCTTGGGATCCTGCTGGGGCCTGGGACGATGGTGCCCGGGGCTGGGTAGGAGGCTGGTCGGTGGGGAAATGAGCAGAGGGCCTCTGGGCACCCTGGCCTGCATTTTGCAGCTTCTGGCGTGGGGAGTGATGAAGACGGTGGCTGCGCCCCTTCAGCCCTGCTTGGTCCAGAGGCATCGCCGGAGGCTCCGGAACTGCCCCTCCGTGCCCCACAGCTGCCTCTGGCCCCTCTTCGTGAAACAAGCCCATAACCCAGACCCCACCGCAGCAGCCAGGAAGCCAGGTCAGCTGAACTTCGCAGCCGACCTGTCTTTGGGCCTTCCGAGCAGGGGGCAGCTAATGCTGCATCCTGCCCTTGGGGGAGGGAGCTTCCCCCCCTGCTCCCGCCCTCGGGGTAACGGCGGGGCCAGGGAACAGTGACTCCTGGTATCGGGTGCATCCTGCAGTTCTCGGGTGCAGGGGAAGGCGCGTGCGTCTGGCGGGATTCTGCTCAGCAGGGCGCAGGACAAGGTGCCGCATCCGGGCTGGGGGGGGAACGCTGCCCCCTGCTGTGCTAAGGTGGGTGCGAGGGCTTTTTCCAGACTCAGGCGCCCGGCTTCCTCCGGCCTCGGCATCCCTTTGCCCCCGGACGGGTCTCCAGCAGGGTCGCCACCTTTTGGAGGTGGAGGGGATGAGGGCGGCTAACGGAGCCGTGAGCGTTTCCTGCTCGCACGGTGCCCCTTCAGCTGCAGCCGTGAGGGGACACGAGCGCGGGGGCCGACGGGACAGCCCTCGTGCGAGGAGAACACCGTGGATCACGCCCATGCACGCTCCTACGTGGGCAAAAGCCGTGGGGAAGACCGATTTCTCCAGGGACAGCTCTGTGGCCTGAGCTGGCTTGTCCTGCCCGGCTGGCAAGCCCTGAATGTCGGCTGACAGCCCCTCTCCCACAAGGGCCCAGCTGCTCCTCCCAAGAGGCCCTTGGCGAGAGGACATCCCAGCCTTGCCTGTCCTTCCCGGGCGTGAATCCCCCAGCCAGGCCTCGGGGGGATTCCCAGCCGTTCGCACCACGGGTTTGCTCTGTGCGAGGAGAGGAACAACCCCGCTTTCATTGCGCTGTAACCTCCAGAGAGGCACAAAACCTCCTGGTTAGCCGGGCGGCCGTCCCCTTGCTCCGGGCAGCCTGCCCTGCTGAAGGGGGCCTCTCACATGACCAGGGCTTATGACTTGCCTTTTTCTGAAACCGAGGGACACGGAGTTCCCCCCTCGACGGGTTTGCTCTGTGCGAGGAGAGGAACAACCCCGCTTTCATTGCGCTGTAACCTCCAGAGAGGCACAAAACCTCCTGGTTAGCCGGGCGGCCGTCCCCTTGCTCCGGGCAGCCTGCCCTGCTGAAGGGGGCCTCTCACATGACCAGGGCTTATGACTTGCCTTTTTCTGAAACCGAGGGACACGGAGTTCCCCCCTCGCCCTTCCCCAGAGCCGTTGCTCTGCCGAGATGCGCTGGCGGCCTGGCGTGCTCCCCATGGACACTTAGACGCCGGCAGGATGGATGTCTGGCACCAGCTCTGCTGTTGCGCCTGCGTCCAAGAAGAGCCCGAGAGCAACCCGCTGCTCAGGTAATTAATTGGGGGAGGCTGCGTGGGGTGAGGGGCAGTCCTCTCCCCGAATAATTAGCTGCCATCTCGGTGGGGAAACTGAGGCCTTCAGCAAGGGTTGATGGGTGTGGCTAAGCTAGGGGTGGCACCGCGTCCTGTTCGGTGCTTTAAACCATCTGGCCCCTTGGCCAGATCCGGCGCCCAGCCTGCCTAGATTCCTCTCCCCGAAGCTCTTGCACCCTCCCCCCCAGAGCCTACGGGTCCCCCACAACCTGCCAGGCTCTGGTGTGCGAGGGGAAGGGGGGGGGTCTTCCTGCTTCGTCGGGGGCCCCGCGACGTTGGAGTTTGGGGGTTTTTTTGCTTCTCACTTACGTGTGGCCCCCTGACCCGAAAAAGTTCCCTCATATCCTGCCCTCCCCTCTGTTCTGCACGACTGGGAACTGAGGAAGCGGCCCTGAGCAGTAGAGTCCTTTGACTTCACAGCCTGGTGCTGCAGCCCCCTCCACCTTCAAACCCAGGGCGAGGAGGCTATGAAAAGTCCCATGTTGCTTTTGGGCAGAGCGGAGAACTTTAGGCCCGTGGCTTTTAACAACTGACGTTCTGCCTCGCGTCCTGCTGTCTCCCGTCCCACCCCCCCGGCGCCTGGCTCTATGCTGGGTGTCCCAGTGCTGTTCTGGAGCAGCTGTGCTCCACCCCAGAGCCAGCCGCATTTCTGCCCTGGGGGCCTGGCCCTAAGCGTGTGGCAGAGCAGCGAGACGTGGCAGCCCCCAGGATGGGGGAAGATGCACTCAGGGCTGCCTGGCAGATGCCTCTGACCCCCACTTCCTAATCACCTTTGCCCCCCTTCCCTCTAGTCCAGAGGCTCTCAAACGTTTTGGCCCGCAGCCCACCCTGCTCAATGCAGACCTCTCTGCGGACCCCCAGCCCACCACCATGATGACAAAATGGAGGGGGTGGCTGAGAGGTTGGGGGGGAAGCCAGCGCTGGTGGGGGGAGGGGCGAGCCCACGGCCCACCTGCAGGCTGGTTGCAGACCATGCGTGAGACCCGCTGCCCTAGAGCAGGGGCACCAGCCAGTCGATCGGGATCTACCAGTCGATCTTGGAGCCTCTCACAAATCCTGACTGGTTTGGCCAAGCCAAGTGCTGGCACTTCAGCTACCCCTCCCCCTGCTGCTGCGCATCCCTGGGAGCCTCCTGCTTGCTGGGCAGGGCAGGGCGGGGGGGGGGGTTGATGTCAGGGTGCCCCCCCCC